TTGCGTTGAGAGAGTTCGTTCATATCGCACATTCATCGTTATTTCATCCGGATAGATGACGACTGGAACGGACGATCGGAAGTGTTCACATTCAGTAGTTTATGAATTTGTTGAGCACGATAGGTTCTATTTGTTACTCACAGTGATGTCGTTTCGTAGGAGAGGCTCTTTACCATGGTCACGAGTGCTGGAGATGGTTGAGTTCATGGCCGATGAGATCGAATACCCACCACATTTCGCTTTCCAGCGAGTCAGAGATCAACTGCTGAATGCATTCAAGGGTACTGCAGATATGCCGAATATAAAGGTCAGTGAAATTGCAGGCGTAAAAACACTCATTAAAACGACATTCATGCTAGTGTCATTCCGAAGGCGATACCAGATCACATATCTCATTAATGTTTCAGAAGTTCGTCGCAAAATCAGTTCGGAAAGCATACCAAGAACGTGGTTGGCAGAAGTCTAGCAGCTGGACTGATGCGTAACTTTCTTTACCTTGCATTATCTAACATACCTATTATTGCTCAATGATTATGTTAACATAGTTCCTTAGTCGAGAGCACTGACTGATAATGTGACGGATATGATCGCTTGTGACTAAACAATAGAACTTATCAAACTGCAGGAGCGTGGCTACGCTAGCGACCGAACATGCGTGCTTGACTGATAATGTGGAATGCTTAAACAAAGCGAAATCCTTGTTCGATGCGTTCATGACAAACTGCGAATATTCGATGACTGGAACGGGATTGTGCAATAGGTTTGTGCGCTTGCTGCTTGTGGCCGAATGAATCATGATAGCAATTTTCTGCGCAAACAACAAATTTCTTCTATTTCGAACATTCTCCTCCTGAATTGCTCGCTTTTCTTCAATCCTTATTGTGCACTAAATAGTCGTTCATTCGAAAGACTATTGGTCGGCTGATAGTAGGAACATTTCAGTGATGTGGCGCCAGATGTGCGAAGAACCCAATACTGTTATGGTTTAGCGCAAACGCCGAACGGGATAGATGTGGTTGAGAAGTTATACAAATGGTTCGTGAAGAATTCCTACTATTTCCGAAGAGATGACGATAACCTTCTACATGCGCTTGCATGCTTACAGGATGAAGCAACAAAGAAGAGGTTAGACGAGTTTGTGTCTTCCATATTTGACATATTTCTCGTATTACCTTCAGTTGTTGCTGAGCGGAAGTATCAGGTTCTCAAACAAATTGCACTCATTGATTCAACCTAGTTTCATTGTTACGTTTCCACGACACTACTGAATTAACTGATCCCATATTAATTGATTGGTTCAGTAATTGGATTAGTTTTAGTGAGATGGATTTCCGTCAAATTTTCATCGAATTGCAATCGCAAGACCTGAGTATGTGTGGTTGTTGGGCGTCTGCGAAAACTATCCATTACTGTGTCACTCTATAAAGACTTATTGATGAATTCCATGAGTAATTCGTATAATAACTTGGGAATAATGTTGAAGTCATATGAATTGTATCTGAAAAGTTTCCATCAAATTAGATTGATAGCGGATGTTCTTGATGGCCATTATCCGGTGGTACTTCTTGAGTACATTGCACAACGCGACAGCACGGACACCCTTTTGTGGGATTATTTGGTTGCGAATAGCGACGCAGTGTTTTACGGCGTACCAAGCTTATCGTATTACATGGACGTGGCCGTCGGTAGCTGGAACACTCAGCAGCAGTTGGACAAGGTCAGTAGATCGCCATAAATAACTTACAGTGGAAGGCTGTGTTATTTTTATCTTGATCATCAAAACGATCTCCTAAACGCCTGAAAATAATGAGATATATGAGCACTTGCGTGCATCAGGGATTAGATTATTATCATGGATTTTGGAACACGCTTCATGTTTCGATGTTGAGATGAGAAAACTTTAAAATGGAATTAGTTACTGGTCACAAGTGAATGTTGCTGGATACGAATAGCAATGATCACTTGTGGATGCATTTTTCAGATTGATGCGTTCCTCAATTCATTGGGCACAACGATTTCGCCAGAGAACGCAAAAGTAATCATGGATCACAAGGCAAAAGCGCAACAAAACATCGATTGGCTGAAGGAGAACAGAGATGAAATCATGAATTGGATCAATGCAAATATCCAATGAATTTGATGACGTTCTATTGATGTCCACTAATCGTTTAACTCTATTGACAATGCAAATAAATTGCCTGAGATTTGATTTAGATCGATCGTTTGCAAATGAAAATATTTGATATACAATAAAAACATTCTTGATTTGTGTTGTTTGTGTATGCATTTGATTTGGAGCAATAAAACTAATTGAACAATCAGTGGGTTGTTAGAATGTTGATAAGCATTTGTGATTTCTTCACAAATTTGATCAAGCACAAAGAATATGCTAGAAGACTCATGCAATTAATTTTACGAGTTTGTAGTCTATGAGTGCATATGAGTTTTTTTTTGTGGTTATTTTTGAAGGTACCATGCCATTTATCAGATCATACATCTGCAATCAGCAATATTTTTCTCCACTAATCGATTGATTCAAATGACTGAATGTTTGATTTTTATCCATGTTTGAGGCGTTACATTGTGCCTATCAGCCACCTGTGGAATGAACAAGGTTATCAGACGTCAACACCTATCAGCATGAGCAGTTGTTAAGGTTTTCAGTTTGTAGTGAACAAAATTTTGAGATATAAAAGTGATCAAATCACTGAAGCTGATACTGGTTACTGATTAAGAATGATAGTGGTGATCGCATGTTAGTGATCATATTGGATTCCCCAGATTGTTCGAATTGTTACGGTTCCTTGAATAGTGACCTTTAGTCACCTCCTTATAGGCTCAGCCACCGCGAATATCATCATTATTAGTGTAATGTGTAATCCTTTTTCAGCAAACAACACAATGGCAATGTCGACAACCATTTTCAAGTGGATATTCATTGTTGTTTGCATATTTGACTATCACACATTGTATGCTGATATCACATTCGTTGATAATAAGCAACAACATGGTGAGTATTCTCTTAGTCAGCGCGAGTTTTCAGTACGTACGTTTCATATAAATTCTTTTCTTTAACATATTGAACCGGATCATCAAAATGGCATACGTAGACGGAAGAGTTGATTGTTAAAGTCGAGTGAAATGGGGAATTACGATAGAATACGGTCGGATTTGAGAATAATGTCGTTGCATAAGTACAGATTAGCTTCTCTCTATACTTGGTAGTCGAAAATAGCTCATTTTTCCATTCGTTAAATCATTACTCAAAGAAATAAATTCACCAGGGCAATATCCTTAAATTTCGAAAAGTTCACCGAACATATGACTTATTGCTTGCAATTTACAGACAGGTAGGTTTCTACATAAGTGTAGAGATCAAAATTTTATCTGTCGATTGTTTCGCTTTTATCTGTTTTAATGCCATCAGGGTAGGATTCAACGCATCGTAGCAAACAGTAGGACCACTTGAATGATGTATATATCATCTATCGGCTGATATATTCTAAAACCTGCGATTTTCCCTTCGTTGAAAAATTATTCTATTCGCAATCGCTTGCGAGCTGAACAATTACAGTTTCAGCACAATTCAAACGCATCAAATGGAGAGAAACAAACATCTTCGGAGAAATTACATAGTCGCATAATGTTTGATTTTGATCATTGAGCAGAAAGGAAAAAAATAACAGATTCCATTATGTGATCAATCGAAAATAAAGTCATAAACCTGAGTGATAAAAGCTTCGGTACTCCACATTCAAGAACATTAAAAAATCGAAGTGCATCTTAAGCAGAGAAAAATTTGACAAACAAAACATTTAATGACTGAATTTATTGCTTGTAAATACGACATATTACTGCTATTAGCTGCAGTTAATAACCATTGGAATGATTTGCTCTAGAGATTTTTTGTTGCTTATCATTCGATGATCATTGAACATTGGTGTGATACTTTTCCATAATTCGATAATTTTTCTGCAGAGAAATTTCTGTTGTTGTTCTGATGTAAATTTAACAAACCTTTTGAGTTGCATAGTTCTGAATGAATCTATTTGAAGATGAAAATTTTTTCATAAAATCTAAAATTTGATAACGAATTTCACTCTATTGTGATGACATGCTGGCTGGATTATATTTCAATGAATAATGACAAACACAAGCTCAATCATATGAATCGTACCCGCAATGGCTAAGGAATTATCGGAATCATTATTTTTTCTCCTATGATCTCATATTGAAGCTTATCTCTAAAAGTTTTCTTCTCTCAAAATGAGCAATCGGAGTTTCAGTATCCGAAGTCGGAACTCCTCCATCGCATTTCAAAGACAAGCAACAATTAGAGGTGAACGCCAGGTATGGAGAAGCAGATGTGGCCGAGCACGAGGACTTGAAGAGACTACCGAATGTGCTCGAGCCAAAAGAGTACTACATCCGCATTAAACCATACTTTCCCTATCCTGCGATTCAATACCCACAGGGTACAGCATTATTTTCTCTGAAGACTTCATCTCATGCATCTGATAAGCAAAACTATAGTGAACTCTTCTATGAGGTGCTTGTTGAGAAATTGAGTAGAACATATTGAATTAATAGCATTATTAGACAACATACGATCAGACTGTTTGGAAACTTTCATCGGAGTCATGATGCATCATCTTGAGGTCATTCAGAAATCGAGATCTATAAAGCAGATACTGAGGTGAGAGACTTGGTAAAGACCTTGTGACTTCAAGAAACGATCACTTGAATCTTGCTGACTTTTTTACGTCTACGTTAAGCTCTGAACATTGCCTGAAATTTACGGCTTTGAACAATTAAATGGTGCATAGCAAAACAAGACTATCAGACTTTATATGCCGTCAAAATTTCAAATGCAAAAGATTACTAGCCAAATTCTAAAGGAACGACTGCACATTAAGTTTTAAACGCGTTTTGAGCTTACAATTAGTGAGTGAGGAGCTTGCAGAACGGAATATGACATTCGACGGCGTGACAACGTTCATATTCAAGGTGAAGAAGGCAACTTCGGTGTTCGTTCTTCACGCTCACAATCTCGTATTCGATCACGTTGAATTCACCGACAATAATGGTATCTCGATTGGCGTAAAATCAACAACTGTAAACGCAACATTGGATCATGTTGTGAGTTGATCACTGATTTGTTTCAATCAGTCGTTAGCTGGTTATGATTATGTGAATATCTGAATGGGTTCAACAGAGCTACAGCAGATCAATCGGCTTACACACGAACCTTTGAGCAGTGAATGCAGTTTCAAGTTTGCTTCAAAATCAGTCCAAATATCTGATGTGCACCCTAAAACGAGATTTGCAGTTTACTGTCAATCAACAGCAAGCATAGTTAATTGATGGAGGAATTTCTCGTACAAAATAGAATCAAGTATAAGTAGAATGTCCAGAGAATTTTTTCATGCGTTGTTTTCACTGATTGAGAGAGGGCACGACAATGTGGATAATTGTCGTGAATAATAGTCACATTTACGAAAATGACATTAAATTATAATCTCAAAGTGAGGTTATTTTTTAGACTGTGGAACCTGCAGTAGTACCCACTGTTGGAGAAACATACCTGTTACAGTTCAAATATAGAGGAATAATCAATTCATACGAACTTGGCGGTCTCTTCTATACGTATTACGATGATATTCAACAAACCAGACAGTGAGTTGAGTTATTCATAGCAGAAAGGACGTCAACTGATTTATTGGAATGCGCGAAGAAAAATGTGATTTTGCAGTTGGATGGTAGCAACGCATATGGAGACCGGTGTTCATGCACGATCGCTGTTCCCGTGCTTGGATGAACCAGCCTACAAGGCCATATTCCACATGACTATTATTTATCCAAAACCGTTAATCGCTTTATCGAATATGATGGAACGACCATACGTCGAGCTACAGTTTGTCTTCTTGACGAATTTCGATCATTTACCATCTGAACAATTCAGTTGAATTAGTTGTAGCATAATAAGATATCTATATCTCAAGTTCTAAGCTTGAACGAGATCCCAGGCATTGTGGTCACAGCTAATGAAATTTTATCAAGCCTGAATCTATTTTTGAAGTGTTTTTCGTCATCTAAGCAAAAAAAGTGCGAAGAAAGTCCCATTGGGCTTCGATAGGAACCAAGTGACAAACGTTTACCTCATAATATAACTAACAGTGAAATGTGATTGCACGGTTTCAGTGATCCATGGGTTGTTGTTCGATTTCCACCCACACCAAAACTCTCGACATATTTAGTGGCCATGGCTGTTGGACCATACGTGAGCAAAAGTATAACAAACAAAGCTGGAACTCTGGTCAGACTTGGTTGATTGCCTCGAAAACTCTGTTTGGGTTATTGGAAAATTCTGATTGGAACCACTCTGAAAGTTTTGATGAAGTGATTAAATACACTCCAAGTGTGGACATAGCAATGATCGTTTGGTAGATAGTTCATCAGAGATGAGTATTTCGTGTACTTTTGATGTGATGTGGTGAGATATGTGATATCTGCACAGTTGCCACATGAACAAAGGGTTGAATTGCGTGACGATGTCAATTGAATTGCGTGACGATGACTTACTTTAGATGGAGCTGAAAATTAGACACACTCTTCATCAACGTCAAACTTGACTTTTTGAACGTATAAGTTGGTGAAGAAGCAGAAGATTGTTTGAATCCTTATGCATGAGAGGCAGCTGCATTTTCTTGATATGTTCACTAATGGGTTGACGTGAAAATTAGGTTTCGGCATTTATTTTTTCTTATATTATCGAAAGACAAAGTATTCATATTATACAAACACAAAAGTGAGATATAATACGAAAGTTACATTTCATCATCCGAATCGATAGTGCATGATCTCCGTGTACATCTTATACATATACAGCTGAAGTACAGATTTGAAAGTTGATTTTACATATCACTTTGGTGTCCCTCACGAATCGTCTCTTTCCATTAGGTGTAGCAATGAGGAAACGCGAATCACAAGGCAATTATTTCAGGTGCGGAGTTGGGGTTGGACGGGACAGGAGGAATATTTGGGATTTGCCGCGATGGTTGCCGGCAAATGTCTTGATTCACTCGGCGAATATGTCAATTTTCCATTCCCACTGTCAAAATCAGGTGCATAAACATTCACGTTAAACCTTATCATGCAAATTTGCGGAATGCTAGAGCAATGCTCATCAGAAATGATCATGCGACTGTAGAGTAGTTTCATTGTAACTTGCAGATCAGCTCGGACTACCTAAATTCCCGGCTGGAGCTGTCGAAAATATGGGACTTGTCATATACAAATATCAGTACATTCAATTCAATGAACAGGCGAGACACTCACTATTATCCACAGAACTTTTCCTAGAAAAATTTTCAGTTTTTCCTTAAGGTCAAGCCATTCGATTATTTATTCCTGGTCTCAATCTTGAACGAAGGAGACTGGATTTGTTACCGTCGGTATCAAATCATAAACAGAACCATCGTTTCGTGATTCCATGAGAGAATTTCATTTAAGTGACACTTAACTAGCCATAACTTGAATGCTATCACATTATGAATTATTCTGTTGATGCCAACTTAGAACAGTCTTGAACTCAACTATATGATCATGCAACTTTTCTTAATGATGCACGCACTTGTTTCTAAGGGATGACTTTTTTAAGCTTCAATCAATCCAAGTGAAACAAAAGGCAGCTGGCGTGATTTGCCATGAGCTTGCGCATCAGTGGTTCGGTGATTTGGTGACGATGACATGGTGGCCTGAGCTGGTGGTTAACGAGGGCTTCGCGAACTACTTCGAGATCTACAATCAAGCCATGGCATTCCCAGAGCATGCTCAATTCTTGGTTGGTAACTGAACAATCGCCTTTTCCTCCACTTGTTCTCTTTGGCCTCATCGGATTCCTAACAATAAGGGTAGTACGGAAAATTTATTCCTAAAACATTCGACTGTAACCATAGAAAACTGTTTGAAAGCTTGAATATCCCTCGTTAGTTGCTATTGTGAATGTGAAGGTGTGATACTTATTCAACTTACTCGCATGATGTCAGTGCGCTCCGCCTTTCATGCTGTATTATTGCTTGTACAAATTTCTTACTCGGCAATAAACAATCTATCCATCTATCTACTTTAAGGACGGAAAGTTCTTCACGGACATGATGGAGCCAGCACTGGACACAGACGCAATAATCAATGCGTCACACCCAATAATTGCTCGTGGACTCAATTTTGACAGTAAGTAAATCTGTTAACATGATACTGCACAACGACAGACAACCGAAAATATGACAAAAAAAAGCACTGAAAGCCGAAAAATAATAATCACAATAATAATGACAGCAAACTCAGTACTGCTGTCAGCTCCGTTGACGAAAAATAATCTGCATGGAATCAAATTTTGTGAATGTGTCTTCGCAGATTCTTGCACTTGAAGTATCGAAGTTCATTTTTTTGACTCTATCCAGGGTTTACAGAGTTGCAATCGAGTTTATGTTTAAGAATCGGAGTAATGTGCTAGCATTTAGATCGCTTATCATGAAAACTAAAGTCAAAGTATTTAACTTTGCAGAGATTGTCTACGATAAGGGCGCGTCCATTTATCGAATGGCTCACATAACACTCGGGGATAAGGCTTGGCAAGAGGGATTAACTGACTACATCCATTCATATAAGTGGGGCAATGCTAATCATGAAATGCTGTTCGCAAAACTTACGAAAGTATCGATTGTTCTTATTGCTTGATCAATTCTTTGTTCAGTTTTGATCGACGATTTCATTTCCATATAATCCCAATATAATGGAACACAGGCGATAATGATGATGGCTAGCAGATAAATGCTTGAAGGAAAGAATTGTAGAATAATTTAAACATCAACTCGAACTTGAAACATGCATTCATCGCTCAATTGCTCGTTTTGAGCACGACGTCCATTCTATGAAGACGGCATTTCCAATCGAGAATTTCAAATCACTAAAAAATAATGCAACAAAATGAATCAGCATAACTCTAGGCTGCTCAAGCACACAATATTGTCGATTGGTGTGGAAGAGCGATGGACGTGGCGAAATTCCTTGATCCGTGGTTCTTGCAACAGGTAAATGCTGAAGATTGATCTCGAGTGTGAACCTATTAAGTTTACTGATTCTGATGAAGATTCAACTCCCATTTCAATCTCAGTGTTTTTCCATCTATCAATTAAGAACTACTGTTTAGTGTTTCCCACTGATCACAGTGACAAACAATCAACTAATGGCGCCGGCGCAGTTCACTCAACAACCTTTCGATAAGCAAACTTTGTTGCCAACCAGTAACTTTAGCTACAGCTGGCCTGTTCCGATGCACATTCGAGACTATAAGGGCGACCACAAATCAATTCTACATTGGCTGAAGCCAAGTTAGTGTTTTTGATGATTTATGCACTGATTCATTCATGCTTCGCGATTCCTCCCTTCATTTTTCACATGTGGAATGAGGGTGAGCACATCTTAGATGATCGCATGAAATGGAATTAAAGAATCATAATCAAACGAACTAAACAACTCTCCAATGGTGATTATACAGTGTAATGAATAAACTCATCAGTGCCACTGTTATCGCTGTGTTAAAATCTTCATTACTTTCTCAGGCTATGACCAGTGCGGTGGAGCATCTCGAGCGGTTAATGGAACACATGCACTCCTTTCACATCAAAAACAACAACAAGCAGCACCCTCTAATAAAGCGTACTCCTCACCAAACCAATTCGCCGTCCATTGGGAACTCGGCAACTCAGGAATGGTTGCGTTTGCACGTACACAATACGACGATATTGGCTACAGTCGACTGGTTGAAGATTTACGCAAAGGATCAACTGATTACTATTCAATGGCTGATAGAGTCGCCTTTCTGGGCGACGAAATTGCCTTATTGAGGTCATCTTTTCCTCGCATCAGTACTCTCTTCATATCCACATCTCAAAGGATCATTTCGATACCACCTTATCGTAGAGCTTAGTGCCACTGTGATCAGTACTGTTATTGTTACTTAGTTCCAACATTACTGTTTATCAGTGCTATTATGAGTATCATCGTT